GCCTCATTGACACCCCTGCCTTAAGGCTATGCTGGAGCTGTAAAGTGTGCATGACATCATGAAGAGTCATGTCATTATCCAGTCATATTTTGGGCAAAGTTCCCATTGACCCGGACAGAGTCTGGACAGAGACTAAAAGTGGGAAAGGCTAGAGATAGAACAGCAAAATAATGGAGATTTTGTCTAAACATTGCAGAATCTAATGCACAGGAACCTAAAATCATACAGCATGTTGCTAAATCAGTATTTTGGTTAAGTGTATTTTTTAGTGGATTGGCATACTGAAGAATTTCATGTTGTCATTGCTGCCATTCAGTTTCATGAATTTAAAAGAAGTCTTACACAACACGAAACATTTTGGGGTACAGGATTGTAAACAAGTTTTCTTATTGGGGCTTTTCATAGAATCGTTTTATTTTACTTTTTTACCATCTATATGGTTTTGGATTCTAATCAAAGGCACAAAACCTTATTGAACACTTCAATCCCTCTGTTTTCTGTCCATTTAATTGTGAATCATTTCAGTATCTATCCATCTATCTTTTTATCTAGCTATAATGGTGAATTACAAACAAAATGCACTTGTTCTGTTTGGGAGATTATACTGGAGCATTGAATTCTTTCTTTCTTTTCAAACAATGGCTTCCAATTCATTAGTCTTAAAGTAGTAGATCAAAGTTAACAGCCTTGATGGAACCTCTGCCATTATAAAATGTCTACTTTGAAGTCCCCATAGACAGAGGGAATAGTATTTGTTGTAATGAGTAAGGATGAAGTCAAGGGATTGAAATATAGAAAGGTCTCTGTATTTTGTTTGCATGCCCACGAAGGATTAACCAGGGCATATATATTGTACTAAGCATGGGTGACCTTGGTCTGAAGAGATGTGGGAATGGTCTTAAATGCTTGTTTAATGCTGACACAGGAATTGAAAATGAGAGTAATAATTGTGAGTGTTGGTTCCTTGTTGTAAAAAAGCAGTTTACATCAGGTAAAACTTAAAAGAGCTCAGAAACCTTTAGCTGTTTCTGCATACAGTAGGTATTTTATGAATCAATGTTCATGCATATGCTGAAGTTATTATTTGCCTGCAAAAGAAAGTTCATTCCCCAGAACTTATTTCACAAAAATAAATAGGATGTGAATTGCTTGTACTTTACTTTGAGCTTCAGATTGGCTGGAAGTATTATACCTATCTGATCATATTTGCTCATGCATCCATAAAACAGAAAATCCTGAAACTCTTCTATGCTTAAAATAAACCATTTGAGTACTCCCTCTTAGGCTCAGAACTAAGACATAATAATATATTAAAATCAAGTATATGAAAACCAGTGAAGACGTGAATTGCATAATAAAGGGAAGTCTGGGTAAGGTATCCTGCACCAAATGTACTGTACATCTGTACCTCCTAAAACACCCAAAGATCAGATTAGCTGTAGTTTAGGGACAAACCTTCCATGTTGCTGTAGGTTAGGGAGATGCCTCTTCTGTTGCTCTAAGTCTGAAACACACCTTTCCTATAATCAGTGATGAACATCCTGTGTTATGTTTACATATTTTACATAATATAAATAAATGTTAAAAAGATTCTGTTTATTTCTCAAGGAAAACATTACAGGAGCAATCACACATATCAGATTAGTTACAGTATACTTGTATTTGAAAATCCAGTGTAGACCATTTACACTGTACTTTGAGGTGTTTTAGGTTGTTCCTCCAAATTCATTAGTAAGTGATCTCATATCAGGACATGCTTGCTGGCAAAAAGCATTGAAGCCCTTTCAGATTTTGTTTTTATTTTAACACAGCCTAGGGTAGAAATGTGGAATTTACCTGTATGTTTGTAGAATGTTTCACTGAAAAAGTCAAAGTGACAAAGTTGTATTGCAGCTCTATGTTCAGTTATAGTTTTGGGTGGCCTTAAGATCTGACTGTTGTGTCTACATCTGCAGCTTAGATGAGAAACAATTTACTTAGTAAGTGAAAGATTAAAATCTCCAGAGTCATTCTAGGTAAATTTTATGTTTCTTTCACTTTTCCATAATGAGAACGTTGCTTGAATTTACCCTAGAGCATTGATCCTTATTGCACTGTTCCACTTATTCTTTCCAGCAAAGATAAATATTGCCATGGGCACCACAGGACTCTTATTTCTTCATTATGAACTTGGGCTTTGACAGGCTTAAAACTTTGCCGTCACATTCACTAGTTTATCATTCCAAAATGTGAAATTCTATCCCTTAAAGATAATATGTGGAGAAAATAAATACAGAGGGGCACTGCTTTAAATGAGCATTCACAGTTCTATGTATGGCTCAGAATATATAGCGAGTATGTCATTTGAATGATAGTACGTGTTTAGACTATACATTCTGAAGTCCTCCTAAGGTTAAAACTTTAATCAAATGTATAAAGAACGGTGTTTACATAAAAAGGGCAATAAAACCAAAATCCTCTGGATTCAGCAGCTTCATTTTCAAGCTTTATATCTGTAACAAATCAGAAGCAGTGTAAGTAACTTGAGATCACATCTAAACGTTTCCAAAATGTTTGGTTTTATAATTTACGTGGGTTGAAATAAATCAGGTCTTTATTTTAGAAAAATACTTTGTTTGCATTGAACCTATTGTTTACATTGAACACTATTAAAAACATCTTGTTCTATCCATTAGACCATAGATGCAAAAATGGCTTAGGTCTAATTTTCATAGAAAACAATTAAGCAAATTTGTTGGATGAATATCAGAGAAACAAATTGCTGCCTTAAAAACTTCACTGTATATATATTGTCTTGTTAACTCAGTTTTGCTAGCTTCTTTGACAAGATTGTACAAGGCTTTTTCATCATGTAGGTAAGTTGTCCACTTTAGCTGATACTGACTATTATCATTCAGTCCAGTGAAGCAGAGAACTGAGTGACTGATTGTGGGATGAGTGATTGGCCCTTTCAGTGAATAGCCTTCTGCACTGTTTACATTCTGATGAATCAAAGAATTTGCTGGCATTTTTCTTTCTACAGATTAGGCTTTCCCTGATAATCAGGTCTCCCTTGTAATTTCCAGTTCATGGCAGCTGCTAGATCAATCCAACACAGATAAAATGAGTTGGTCAATGATCTGCATCCTTCTATTAGTGATGTCAATATGGTAAAGAGCAAGATAGTATCCCTTAACTGCAGGTGTGAGTTAAAAACTTACTCCATCCACACATTCACCACATCTTCTATATAGAGGCTATTTAGTTAATGTTTTCCCATGCCAAAATACAAAGAGGACATGCAGTTTATTTAAACAAAATCTGATGATAGCCTTGAAAATAAGCAGATACTTACTCTCCACATGCATGTCATTCTGTTACTGACTGGACGCAGATGAAAACCTAAATGTCAAAGAAGGTGACCATTTGTTATGTGTAATGGTATGAGAGGTCTCTCTCTTATGAAAATATTTTTCATGTAAATATTTTTAGCATTAAACAGATTTTGCCAGAAATATCCAGCTAGAAAAAAAATAGACATAATCTCTTCAAGCACCAAATAAATGGACTCAAGGTCAAAGGGCTTAACAGTATCCCTCTCAAGTAAAGACTGACATTGTCAAGTCATGGCAGGTTAGCTTCTCACTAACTTAAGTTTAGCAAACCACCAGATCGACATTCCCAGAAACGAGTTTTCTTTCTATGGAACGTGTGAAGTATGATCATCAAAATAGATGCCATGACATATGGTTCAACTTCACTGAAAAAGTTTTCTCTGTATTTTGAAAAGGCACTAGAAACAGAAAAATAAAAGCAGCTTTATATCAGGGATAACCAATCATTAATTAACTGAACCAACTCAGAGTATTCTCTTCCTAAACTGGTCAACTTTTTATGTTTCCAACATCCTGGTCAGCGGTACCTACCTCTGTAATGAAATATAACTGTATTTCCCGGTTTTAGTAAATATTAAATTGTTTGTGTAATATTCAAAATACTGTAATGAATCGAGGTAATAATGTTTTATGGTAATAAAGAGTATCTTGAATTTTTTAACTAAAGTTTAAAAATTGAGTTACTGTACAATATAGTAATCATTGTGAATTCTAAAATATATATATATATTTTGTCTTATATAAAATGAGTACAGTATAACACTCTGTGGAATATATTGTTCTCATTTGTTCTTTTAAGATAAATGGCAGAATTATCTTGGTATATTCACATTCTCTACTCAGTAAGTCAAAATATTTTTCATATTTCAGTTTCAATCATGCTACAATTTATAAAAATCACAATCTCCAACAACTGAGACCAGTAATAGACTTTAATTTTTTTATTTTTTATTGTAAAGCTGATACTTAGCTGCTGCTACAAATTTGTTTTGATTTACAATCAAAACATTAGATTACTATGTATGTCAACAGATTTATATTTCCCAACAAGATGATTAACGATCCCAACAATTTTCATTTAAAGATACTGATGCATTTTCTGTGCAGGTACTTCCAGTTAATAAAAAAATGAGAAATAGATACAATTCTAAATTATTGAGCACATCTGAGTAATTCTTCAAAAGCACATGGCACCAACTGCTAGTCCTAACCTCCTCCTCAGTTAACCTTGACCCCCATCAAACTCAAAGTAGCTTAAGTAGACCACCCTTTGAAAGCACAGCTGCTCCAAGCCCACAACATTAATCAGAAGTTCTTTGTTAAATGTTTTTTAGAATCATTAGAAGTCATTTGGGTAGGTTCTTAAGTCTTAATTATAGCTTTTTTCCTGTGAAGTTAAATCTGCAGGAACAGGTCTAAGTACTTCTGTAAGCTTACACCAACTGGATCTCTATGTAAAATGCCTTTCAACAAGTATTAAGTATTAGTGAAGAATAATGGGGATTTCCGAGTTAGCGATGCCAAGTGTTCTTAAGTTATACTAAGAGGTAGTATGGATTTTCTTTTGAAGTATAAACAAATGTGTTCTTTTGCAAAGTGTTATTAAAGGTATTAACTTTCTTACAGGCGTGATACGAGAGAGTTACCAGAAGGGTCGTGATCAGCTCGTTCCTGTCACCCTCTTGGCGATAGCAGTCATCCTGGCTTTTGTAATGGGAGCCATCTTCTCCGGAATCATCGTCTACTGTGTATGTGACCATCGGAGGAGGGATGTGGAGATGGTCCGGAGGAAAGACAAAGAAACGGTGCACTCAAGAAGAGGGTCAATGAACAGTGTCACCAAACTCACAGGGTTGTTCGAGACCCAGGCAAAGGAGCCCAAGCCCGAAGCTATCCTCACCCCACTGATGCATAACGGCAAGATGGGGACGCCCAATGGCACAGTGAAAATGCTGATTAAAGCTGATCAGCATCACTTAGACCTCACTGCGCTGCCCACTCCCGAGTCCACGCCTACCTTACAACAGAAGCGGAAGCCGAGCCGCGGCAGCCGTGAATGGGAGAGAAACCAAAACCTGATCAATGCCTGCACAAAAGACTTGGCTCCGATGGCTTCTCCGGTCATCCCCACGGATCTCCCGCTGCGGGCGTCTCCGGGGCACATCCCCAGCGTGGTGGTCCTCCCCATCACCCAGCAGTCTTATCAGCATGAATATGTGGACCAGCCCCACAGGGTTGAGATGAACCAGATTGCCATGGAAGACCAGAGTGCCACACTGGAATATAAGGCTATTAAAGAACACCTAGGCAGTAAGAGCCCATGCCATGGCTTAAATATAGTGGAAAACGACGCCATCCCGCCCAGAGTTCCTCAGAGAGAAGCATCCCTGGGGCCTCCCACTGGAGTACCTCAGATGGGAAAACGTCTAGAAGTGCATTCCTCTGCATATGGCCACGATTACAAGAGGGGGTACCCATTAAGCTCTCAGCAGAAAAGCCATCAAGGATCTGCTCTCAAAAAGCACAACACTAACTCCTCAAATTCTTCACACTTATCTAGAAACCACAGTTTCAACAGGGTGGAAAACCCACCTCCTGCTCCACAGAGAGTGGACTCCATACATATGAATGCTCAGGCACAGGCTGTGACTGTGTCCAGACAGCCAAGCATGAGCTCATACAGCTCTCTGCCCAGGACGGGGGTGAAACGCACACCTTCCTTAAAGCCTGATGTACCACCCAAACCCTCATTAGTTCCCCTTTCAGCAAACATCAATCCAAATGATGCATGTACATAATTACCACCTGAGAGACAGGGAACGCAACTGCATTGACTTTACTGTCTCTTGTCTGTGTACAGCAAATGCAACAAAAGGTTTTTTTTAGGAAAAAAAAAGGCTGTTGTTGAGCTCAGGATGTTTGGTCTCATTCCCTGGGAAAAGTGGAATATTTTCTGTTGAAACCTACAAACTACGATGAAACAAAAGAACAACAACAACAAAAAAATAAGCCACGCCATCCTTCAATGCTGTAAGAGATGGCAGCAAAGCATTATACAGCAACCCAATGGAAATTTTGTAACAACAGGCCAAAAGCACAATGTTGCATTGAATGTGTAATCACTCTTGTACTGTACAGCTCGCTCTCAGCTCAGTGAGAAGAGAGGAGAAAAGTGCATTGACAAAGCTGACTCAGACTTTAAACAATGGCTTACGTTTACTGTGTGCAGATAACTGTGAAACGCCTCTCAGTGTTACACCAATTGGTCATCGCAATCAAGTGCTGCTTTGGTCCAGGCTTTGGCCTGAAAAATCTGCTACTGGTTACTGAATAACACATGACTGTTAACACTAATAGCTCCTTGTATTTATTATTTAAGTGCTTTTGAAAAAAAGAAAAAAGACTGCCTTTGAGGCTACAAAAATCTCTTGAGACAATTAATCAAGTGTGAAATTATTTAAAGTCAATTAACTGGAGCCAGTCAATGTTTATTTTTTAGCAAATGGGTCCACTAACTGTGTGGAGCTGGTTTCTTGAACTTTGTTTGGACTTTCCTACACACATGAATTTTCTGAAAAAGGGGGAATATTTATTTAATTGTGCCAGGTGGCTGCTGATTGGATCTGAGATCGTCAGTAAGCAAAAACTCCAAGGTTGAAACGTAAAACAAACTACAAAAGGAACTCGTAAACTGCACATTTATCACACCATTGATGTCAGCATTCAGTAATATGGCTTTTGTCAGTAGTTGATACTTTCTGAAAAGGCATTGGCTTGTGACGTGCCATCTCATTTCACATTTGCATGTAAAAATGCAAACAAAAAATGGAAAGAATACCACGCAAAACTAAAGGTGTGAAAAACATTTATATGCCAGCTATTAAAATGCATAATTTGTAGTCTTATCACACGGGTTCTTAGTTGGAATACATCTGTGAATAGCCTGTTTTTTCTTCCACATGTAAATTTGTGCCTTACACCCTGAGTTGTGCATAGTTCTTTAGCTGTTAAATAAGTTTCCTTTCAATTTCAGTTGTTTTTTTAACAATTAAATTATTTTCCCTTGTCTGATTAAAGCAAATAAAAGAATGTAGATGTTATTGTTGTAACTCTGGTCCCTAGAAATATTCGGGGGTAGCACCACACCCTTCATCGTGGTTCATTTCTAATTGTGCCAACATTGCTCTTGAACAAACCCCTTGTTGTGCTGGCAGTGTAGACAGTGCTGTGGGTGGCATTTTTTTAATCATTGAGTCCTGTTTTTTTGTCTTCTTTGCTGTTAAAGAATGAGAGATGTGAGTTCTTACTATGGCCTCTTTTGTGTGATGCACTGATATATGAAACACTATCTGATTGGCTGCAATGTAGATGAAAGGGCACCATGACATTTATAATGTAAATTATAGAAATCAATAACCAGGCAGTAGATGCAGGCTGGTTCCTGCAACAATGAAAAGCTGCAAAATAAGGGCAACCAAAAGGTTTTTTTCTCCCAGAAAAGAATTCATTGGACAGCTGGTTTTAATATTTGGTTCTTTTGCTTTTTTTATTCAACCAGATTAGCATGTTTTAATCTATTAAATATCTTTATCAACATGCTGTAGGGATTATTTTTATGTACTAATCTGTATTATTTCAATTTTTTATACCTAATTTTCAATCTCCCCTTTTTCTCCCCAAATGGACAGAAGGACTGCTCATCAGGTAGTGTTTAGCATTTAGATAGATAATTTAGATCAGCTAGGTAAAAGTGTGTAACAAGGGTGTATGCACCTACTTGCTTCCCCATACTCTATTTTTCAACTAAATCTGCTTTTTACTATAAATTGTGGAGAATTGGCTGATTGTCATCAAACAACCAAAGTGAATTAAATCAATAAGTGGCTTCTTCACAGTCGAAAGGGGTCAAGTTGTTTAACCTTTACTTGTTCATCCAAATTTATTTCTTAATTAGGTCTGGGTTGTTTTGGTGGTGTTTTTACACAGCCTTAAAACAGCAGCAGGTATTTAATATAGGGACACTCATTTTGAATTGAATCAACATGTTTATCAGATTACCAGAGATACTGCCCACAGTGTCAATGGCATCTTCATAGGCCATGAGTCCCTTAGTGTGCCTTCGTCTTTCACCCTTGCTATACACTGCTAGAAGCAACTAAGTCAGACTCTTGATTTTTGTAAAATATTGTGATGTCACAGACTTCCCCTTCTTCACCTTCTTAACATCTGATTCACAGCTAAATGTATGTTGTAAAGAAATTCTCTTTAATAATTGAAAAAATGTAATAAAAACAAATGAAAGCATGTTTGTATTTCAGTGTTTTCTAAACGTCAAAGCAGAACGACAGTTCAATCAAATTCTGAATTACCACACACTAGCATGCTACTGTATGTGTGCGAGCACACACATGCACCTACCTGTAAGTAAAATACTTTTTTTAACTTCTGTAAGGAATTGAAGAAACCATTCTTGAAAGTTTAGTGTTTCCGAATTCAGTGTGCGTTCAGTTTCAGAAATGGACAAACTGTATTTGAAGAAACAGATATGATTGTGATATCTTAAGCTAAGCATACGTGCAGGTACAGTATGAAAAAACAAATAAAAAGTGTATCTACAATCTTGGGGAGTATTTCTTTCTATATATAAATAGTTGGATAAGAATCAGTCTGGAGCCTGCAGGTTGACTGACTGGGTGAAGGCTTTTCACCATTATTTTGATATGGTAGTGAGTCACATATATAGAAGATAAGTACAAGGAAAAGAGAACTAGGAAGTGTATATCTAATTGAATGTCATTTTTTCTGAAAGCTTTAAATGACATTCTATTGTATTCTATTGTATGAGCACTACGGTTTGGTCATACAATACATAAACGTCTTAAACTATTGTGCTCCATTCCTAGTGTTGTGGAGTTACTGTAAAGGTGATTCTTCACAGTTACAAGCTACAGTACTATACTTGTGCAAGGGGCTTAATTTAAAAATTAATAAGAAGAAGGGGGTAAATTTAAATAGTACAGTAAACACCTAATACCTTTAAAACTTAAAAGTAACTGCACACTGCGTAGATCACTAAAATGTTACTATTATTTTCTCCCAACTTCTGGTTCATTTTAAAATGCAATGCCTTACGGTAGTTGCTTTTAACTTTGCACTATGGTTTAAAGATAAGATTTTGATTTTTATGGACACACAGCACTCCTGTACATTTAAATAGAATGCAAACTAAAAAAAAATGAAGAAAAGAAAAACATTGCACATTATTTTATTACAAAAAATAAGAAAGACATTGCACATCACTCTATTGCACATTTGTAACATTTATAACACATCACAAAACATATTGCATTCAAGTGGGTTGGAAGAGTCAAAATTGTGTTTATCCTTGACATTTGCATTGACAGCTTCAATGGATAGTGGAACAAAGGAATGTTTGTATCTGTTTGACGGTTTGTATCTGTTTAAAGTTGACTTTACCCAGTACTGTCCATTCTATTGTACGTAGAATATTTTCAAAGAAAAAGTAAATATGCTGCTTCACAAGGATGCTTCTTCCAGCTTTAAATACACTATTCAGGACCATTCTTCCTTTTCTGAAGATAGAAGACCTAATTTGTCATGCCATAATTCACTGTGCTTTGAGATCTAAAATTCAAATTAAAAGAGGATTTTCATTTAACATAATAAAGGTAATCACATATTACATAACAAAGAGATTCATCATTTAACAACTACGAACATGTTAAATTAGACGGATGATGGTTTTGTTTTACATATTTGTCTTCTGTTATTTCCGTCTGCCAGCGTATTTGATATTTTGCCAAGACTCACTGTGGCCTGTGATGGTTATGGAAATCCAACAGTGATTGTCATTATTAACTCAGGGAATACCATGGTTTCAATACAAATTTAACTCCTGTACATTGCTTTTGTGATCTTTAGTATTCCCATAGGATATTCTAGAGAAGATGCATTCTAATTAAAATATTTTCAATCTGCAGACTCAAAAATGCAAATGTAGAGAAATTCAGAACAATGAAATTTACTATGACATTTTACCTTGATAATAAAGGTCAAAGTTTGAATTATGCTCTAAACATGCTCATCTCAACATTTTAAATTTAAATCTCTTATGCATATTGAGATTGTATGCAAAATTAATTCTCTTAGGAAATAGATCAATCTTTTACCATAACTTTGCATAAATAAGAAATTTTCCTTTTTTTCCAACTCCGATTTATAGTACTGTAGTAATTGTGTAAAAGCAATTTTTGTATATTTCAATCACATGCACAGTTGCTTCTTTAATAGAAAAGGATATTAATTCTCATCCCCAGATTCCTCTGACAGAAATGCATACATTGCTTTCTGTGCTTTCTAGTATCAACTTCAAAATCTATGCTTTTCAAAGGTTTCAATTGAACCTTTACAGCTTCTTAAAAAATTGAATGCTGCCAGACAAAATCCAAGTAAACTACACAAGCTTATATATTGAAAACTGGTAACATCTAGATTTATTTTTCAAATAAGTATGATACAGCACTTTATGAGCATTAGCCAACAAAACAACATACAACTCACTTTGCCCTTGACTAATCTTCAATGAGTGGAAAACATAGTATAGCTGATTATCCAGTAGATACTATTCTTCTCATTTTTGTTTTTCAAAGGCCCCAAATCTTGATTGATTTGTTACATCTTAAATTAAGTGAAGGCAATTCCAGAGTTGAACGAATACTCTGACACTCCTCTCAGCTTGTGATAGTTGTTCTACCTACCAACAACCCTGGGGACTTGAAAAATAAAGATAATTCACTGTTACAAAGTAGGGGAAGGCTATAAAAAGGTCTTTAAATGCTTCCAGATTGAAATTTTAACTGTCAGAAACATCATTAAAAAATTGAAGTTAGGGTGAACTGTTGGAATCGAGGCAAGAGCTGGGAAAAAATAAATCTTTCCAGAAAGATCTCTGACAGAACTGCTCAAAACTGGTCACTTCTGCAAAGCAGAACCCACAGCTCACTGCAAAGGACCTACAGAAACGTTTAGCTGACATTGGAGTACCTGTCCACAAGTCCACAGCACAACATTTCTTACACATAAATGATGTGCATGGGAGAGTTGTCAGAACAAAGTGCAGTGGACTGAAGAACGTCATGACCACAACCACAGAAGACACATTTGGAGAAAAATGGGTGAAACATTTGAGGAAACCATTTGCTAACCATTAAGCAATCTTTTTGTTATATTTACTGAGTTTGTACAGTTCGGGAGGTCAAATTTCTAAACTTGCCTATTTCGACTCTCTTACAAATCCATCCTTTCTTGCACATTAAAGTTTGTTCTTGCCTGAAATAGATTTTACCTTCCCATACTCCATCTCAAACTTTTCATCTTCCATCAATCCTGCTAGCTGATGTCCCCATGCTTGCAATTCTAACTATTCTAATGGCAGACCTAGCAATCCAACTATTGTTTACCTCCTTCAAGCTGAGGAAGGAAGTCATCCTCTCACTCCACCTTGACCAAGTGAGTCTTCCACCTCTGCTTCTTCATGCTCTTCTAATCATCTGGCTCCACATAGTTACCATGATGTCCACAGTCCTATTCCAGCTCCTTCTGAGATCATCACCCATCCCTGGAGCTTCAGAACAACTGCACTGCTGTCTTACATCACCCTTCCCCTTTTTCTTACTCCTCCCTTCTTCTCCACGGTCCCTGCTTGACTCTTCTTCTTTCTTACATTTCTGTCTTGTTACATCATCAGTTTCATCTAATCTTTAGTCCAAGCCAGTATCTCCTGTATCTCTATCTTTTTGTTTCTTCCACTTTCCCTGCTATCACTGCTATCTCTGTAGAAGCCACCTAATCACTGAAGGTCATTCTGAGCCATGCGGATAGCTCATATCATCAGTCTGTATTGGGTTTTGGCTCCTTGTTCACAGGCTAAACCAGAAATGGTCCCTGCATCCCAGTCATTGAGCCAGCATCTCATCAGAGATACCTAGTCTCTATTAATCGGACCCAAGATTGGAACTGTGCCAATCAAACAGATGCTTGCACATGCCAAGCTCTGTTAATGAAGAACTCTGCATCAGTGCTTTGGGTTTTCATTGATCTCTTTTCGATATCTGGTACCCTTGACCTTATGGTCAGACTGCCATTTCGTTAGCCAGGTTAGTTAAGCTAAATCTTAATACTCTGTCTTTACTAGTGCCATAATTTCATTACATTATTAAAGATGTGTCTGAACTGCTGATATTAGTTTATTCCCATCTCTGATTGTATTTTATCGAGATTAACAGAAAGCTTTTATTTCTATCTGCGCTTGCTACAGAAAAAAGTGCAGATTTTTGCAACATCAAAATAAAAGGGAGGAGAGTATTTCCAAGAGTATTCTACTTTTCCAGCGGTAATGTACAAGCTAAACATCATAGGTTTGCACGAGCACTATTTATTGGCATCATAGTGCCAAAAACAGCCATGAAAAACGCCATCCATATCTTTTCTAAACACTTCATCCAATACAGGGTTGCAGTGAAGCCAGAACCTATCCCAGCAAGTAACAGTTGTAAGGTAGGATACAATATGGGTGGGACACCGGTCCATCGTAAGGCACATGTAGATACAAGCATACACACACAATTCTCTTTTCAAGCCAATTAACCTAACAGTGTGACTTTGGAGCACCTCGAGGAAACCCACTCGAAAATATAGGGAGAAGAATTGGCATCACATCATGCACCATTATCCGATATTTAAGATTTACAGACTCCCTCATTCAACAACAACTTGGAAGGCAATGAGATAAATACTTTCTAAGATGACCACTTCATATATAGCCGTTTCGGAAAAATGACTAAAGAAGCCAAAAAGTGGTGGTATTCTTCACGTAAGGATCACTGAGCTCATGGTCAGTGGCAACGCTAGGAAAGACTGATTTCCAATGGTCTAACATACAAATACAAATTCAAAGGTTCTGTGTTTGGACTCAGATTACAATTTATTCTACACCTCTGGTTGAACAAAGTAAGTTTTTTAATTATAAATGAGTCCTTAGTGAAATTAAAACTTTAAATTAATCACTCTTCAGCTCATATGAGGTAGCATTCAGAACTGATGCTGCATTTCCTTGGTCTGTGATTACAAGTTTAATTATTTCAGAAAATGTAAATATCTGGTTTAATGACACAAATATAAGCAGTATTAAGTGAGCTGCCCTTTGGTTAATATGCAAAGAGTCCTAAAGCTAAAAACAATTAATCAAAATATGATGGGAAGTTCATATAATCAAGTATATGTTT